TCCTCCTACTCCTACTCCTACTCCTCCTCTTCCTGTTCCACGTCCTCGTCCTTGTCCTCGTCCTCGCCCTCGTCCTCCTTCCTCCTCCTCCTCCTCCTCCTCCTCCTCCTCCTCCTCCTCATCATCCTCGTCCTCCTCTTCCTCCACCTCCATTCCTTCTCCTTACAAATAGCTCCTCCCTGTCGCACCCCGAGGCCAGTCTTTAGGGCGGGCCGGGCGTTTCGCCTGAGTCGTCCTCACCACTTATGACTCCGAAGCATAAAAAATGGCAACGGCTTCGCAGATGGAGGGCGGGTCGTTTTCAAAATGTGGCTCTCGCCTTAGCGCCGCGCACATTCGCTTTAAAAAATTGCCAGAGTTTGACGAATTGAGGGCGGGTGGTTTTCAAATGTGGCTCTCGCCTCAGCGCCGCGCACATTCTCTGGAAAAATGCAAGAGCTTCACAAATTGAAGGCGGCTCCTTTTCAAAATGTGGCTCTCGCCTTAGCGCCGGTCCCATTCGTTTGAAATTTGCAAGAGTTCCACGGCTTGAGGGCGGTTCCTTTTCAAAATGTGGCTCTCGCCTTAGCGCCAGTCCCATTCGTTTGAAAATTTGCAAGAGTTCCACGGCTTGAGGGCGGTTCCTTTTCGAAATGTGGCTCTCGCCGTAGCGCCGGTCCCATTCGTTTGAAAATTTGCAAGAGTTCCACGGCTTGAGGGCGGTTCCTTTTCGAAATGTGGCTCTCGCCTTAGCGCCGCGCACATTCGGTTTTTTTAATGTGCAAGAGTTTTGCGGATTGAGGGCGGTTCTTTTTGAAAATGTGGCTATCGCCTTAGCGCCGCGCATGTTCGTTTGCAAAATGTGCAAGACTTTTACGGATTCCCAGGATCAACGTACCAGAAATGGTGTTTCTGAAGGATTCAGGATTTTGCGGGTGCAATAATTATGTTGGCTCGCGGTGTTGAAATCCCACAATTGGCGTTCTGGCACGATTCTGGATCGTCAAGACGCAGCAGTCAGGTTGACCCATGGCGTTGAAATGCCGAGAACCATGTTTTGGCATGCTTCAGGATCTTCAAACGGTTGTCTTCCAACGAGGCAGTTCCCTCAATGGAAATGAAACGTTGTGGGGGCCTATGAAGAGGGAGCTTGGAGGCAGGGTCAACTCCAACATCGTTGATGACTCTTGGTTTTACACTGGTCCTCCTCCTCCTCCTCCTCCTCCTCCTCCTCCCTCCTCCTCCTCCTCCTCCTCCGCCTCCTCCTACTCCTACTCCTGAGGAGAAGGGCAGCGGAGCGTCCTGCAAGACAACCGTGTTCTCATCATTTCTCCACTCGATGCCGCCGTTGAGCGCTCTCAGCACATCCTCCCGGAGGGCTGGGCGGAGCCGAGGCTGCTGGCGACAGGCGGCTGGCGGCATTATCGAGAGGCCGATCCAGCGCCGGGAGTGTAGGACCAAAAGGGCAACTCAACGGCTTACATACAACAGAAAACGCTCAACAATTTATGAACAACAAAAAACCATCGAGGCCATCCAGACAAAAAACGCTCAACGATTTACAACCAACAATAAAAAGGCTCGACGATTTAAACATCAAAAAACGCTCAACGGCTTATAAACAACAAAAAACTGTCATCGAGACCATCCAAACAAAAAAGCTGGAGAAACCCGCTGCACGCATGGAGACCTGACGTAGTCCGCAATGCCACCACGGGGATCACGGACGGCTCGAAGAGCGAGTGGAATACACAGTGGATGGCGGCCGGAGCTATCCTCTCTGGCCTATTCGACCTTGACTGGGGAACCTGGAGGCAGAGCAAATACGTGTGAACCAACAACCCTGGCGAAGGCGCAGATCGGACGCCATACGCCCCATCGCCCTTATCATGCTCATCATCAGTTTCCTCGTCCATATCCACCACCTCGATGTTCTCCTCCTCCTCCTCCTCTTCCTCCTCCTCCTCCTCATCCGCCTGCCCCGCATGTACCACCTCCTCTGCATACTCCTATATCTTCCTCCTCCGCCTTCCTCTCGTCCCCGACCCTGTTTTCCAGGATGGTGCCAAAAGGAAGCTGGGCCCGCTAAGCGGGGCTAGGGCGCCCAAAAGCCATATGTCTTCAAGTCCACGTACTCTTCCTCCTCCTCCTCCTCCTTCTCCTCTTCCTATTCCTCCTCCTCCACCTCCACCTCCTCCTCCTCCTCCTCCTCCTCCTCCTCCTCCTCCTCCTCCTCCTCCTCCTCCTCCTCCTCCATCGCTCCATCCCGTCATTCCTCCTAGTCCATCCCAGTTCCCTTCCTCTTCCCCTGCGTCCTCCTCCTCATCCTCATCCTCCGCCGCCACCTCCTCATCTCCTCTTCGTTATGGATAACTCCTCCGTGTCGCACCACCAGACGCGCCCTTAGCGTGGTCGGGGCATTTCGCGCCTGGAACTTCTCCGCAACACTACGACCTCGGAGCTCGTAATTCCAAACAGTTCCGCGAAAGGAACACAGGTGGTGTTCACAGTGGGGCTCTCGACTTTGCACTGCGCACACTCGCCTTAAAACATAAACGGCTACAACAAGATATAAGGGTCGATTTCAACCTGGGGTTCTCGCCTCAGCAACGCGAAGAATCGTTCTCAAAACTTACAGCAACAGCAGCTACACTGACGGAGGGCGGCTCTTGTTTGCTTCGCGGGGCGATGTGAGAACGATGTTACTCTCATGACAACGGAGTTTGCGCTTGTCCAACGTTTGCGCGGATTGAGGGCAGACCCTTTCAAAGCGGAGACATCCTCTGGATGGGGCAATAATCTCCCCCCTCCCTTGGATCCCCTGGGGGGGTTGGGCACGTGCTGTCTGAATGAGTGGAGGGGGGGGGGGAGGACGAGGAGGAGGATCGGGAGGGGGAGGAGGAGGATGAAGGGGGGCGGGACTGGGCAGGCTCAGTCAGGAGGTCAATCACCCCCCCCCTTGACAGATAACCCATCCAGAGTAGCTGCACACTTCAAGGAACGTGCTGACCCCACCTCCCTGCATGTCTTGCACGTGGACGGAGATGGATTGCGGGCCCTTTCACACCACGGGGTCTCCGCCGGAAGGGCAGGTCCACGCCTCCTCCTCCTCCTCCTCCTCCTCCTCCTCCTCCTCCTCCTCCTCCTCCTCCTCCTCCTCCTCCTCCTCCTACGTAACAGACTACCCCCCCTCCCCCTGCCGCGGCGACGAGGGCGCTCTCCTTCGGGCCGAGAGAGGGCGAGACACGCCATCGAGCCTCGAGCCTCAAACCGAAGTCGGTGCCTCCTCGGCCGGCAGCGCCCTGGCAGGCAGCCCTGAGCATCGTCGTCGTCGCCGTCGTCGTCGCCGTCGTCGTCGCCGTCGTCGTCGTCGTCGCTGTCGTCGTCGTCGTCGCCGACGAGGCAGTCCGAGGGCGAGCCGGCGAGGCCGTCTGTCCGCAGCCTGCTCCCCGCGGGCGGGGGCGGCGAGAGCCCCCCAGCCGTCGGCTGGCCTAGCCTTGGCCGCGCTGACCGACTTACCTACCTAAATTGGGGTATAGGATTGTGGATTGACACTCTAACAATCCGATCATTGAATTAACGATGTGTCTAAAATGTCGGAACACATGCTCTAAGCATGGTTTAAACATGTGTTTTACATGTTCGGAACATGTTTGAAACATGTTTCAGACATCTGGAAATTATTTGCTGGCACGCTTCCTCTCCATTGATCGCCCTCCATAAGTATGGGAAGCTCCTTCGGGTTCTGCGGGGCCCGTCCCCACTTTAGGACGGTGGGCAGGTGGGGCCGAGATACTCTGGCCCAAAGGGGATGGTGACAGGCCAGACGATGCTGCAGCCCACCACTGAGACGAAGCCAGGGCCAGGACCAAATCGGACCAGGACAAATCGAAGACCTCCGAGATCCAACAATTCCGGAGGATGCATCGGGCGCCGCGGCCACTCCAGAGCGCTGATAAGGTGGCGACAACCGAACTCTACCCGGCAAACCATCGATTCTCCTGAATCGATGGGATGCAAGGGGTAGGGCTCGGATTTCGCCACGTGCTCGGCGAAAATTCCGAACCCACCCCCGCGGCCCATCGAGTTTCCGGAAACGTTGCCCAGCGAGGGCAGGGCTCGGACTCCGCCGCCGAGCTCCAGACCGCTCCGAGAGCACTTCCGAGCGCGCTGGAGTGATTCTACGGGGCCCAGACATATACATCACCACCACTACAACTACTACTACCACCACCACCACCACAGCCACCACCATCACCTCCCTCACCCCCATCCCTCTCCCATGATGGAGGAGGGGAAGAGGATGAGGAGGAGGAGAAGAGGGAGGAGAAGGAGGAGGAGGAGGAGCAGGGGGAGGAGGAGGAGGAGGAGGAGGAGGAGGAGGAGGAGGAGGAGGAGGAGGAGGAGGGGAGGAGGGAGGAGGTGAGGAGAAGAGGTAGGAGAGAGGGAGGAGGAGGAGGAAGGAGGAAAGGAGGATCTCGCCGCATCGCCGATGCATCGGCGATGCATCGCCGATGCACTGGCGACGTCGGCGGTGCATCGGCGACGTCGGCGTGGAAAAGATTGGGCCCCACATCGAGCCGCATCGCCGATGCATCGCCGATGCACCGGCGATGCGGCGCGATCCTCCGACCCCGTCTACTCCGATCCCATCTAGGACGCCCAGAGAGTAGGACGAGGAGGAGGAGGAGGAGGAGGAGGAGGAGGAGGAGGAGAAGGAGGAGGAGGAGGAGGAGGAGGAGGAGGGAGGGGGAAAAGGAGGGCAGAGAAGGAGGAGGAGGAGGAGGAGGGAGGAGGAGGGAGGAGGAGGAGGAGATAGAGGAGGAGGAGGAGGAGGATGAGGAGGAGGAGGAGGAGGAGGGGGAGGAGGAGGAGGAGGAGAGGAGGAGGAGGAGGGAGGAGGAGAGGGAGGAGGAGAGGAGGAGGAGGAGGAGGAGGAGGAGGAGGAGGCGGAGGAGGAGGAGGAGGAGGAGGAGAAGGCGGGGAGGAGGAGGAGGAGGAGGAGGAGGAGAAGGTGGAGGAGGGAGGGGAGGAGGGTAGGAGAGTAGGAGTAGGAGTAGGAGTAGGAGAGTAGGAGTAGGAGTAGGAGTAGGAGTAGGAGGAGGAGGAGGAGGAGGAGGAGAAGAGGAGCGGGGGAAGAGGAGGGGGGAGGAGGGAGGAGGAGGAGGAGGAGGAGGAGGAGGAGGAGGAGGAGGAGGAGGGAGGAGGAGGAGGAGGAGGAGGAGGAGGAGGAGGAGGGGAAGAGGGGGCAGAGGAGGGAGGGGGAATGGAGGGAATGGTGGTGTACATGCTTGGGGCCTGCAGACTTGGCCCGATCCTGGGCCTTCCGAAAAAAACCTTCGCGGGGCGGGCCCGAAGAGGGCGCGCGAAGATCGCCACCGGCCTGCGGCGCGAGCGAGCGCGCGAGCGGGCGAGCGGCTGGCGCCTGGCTAGGGGGCGCCACGTGCAGCTGCGGGCGCCCGGGCCCCCACGGCAGAGAGGAGGCAGATGGGGGCGGGAGGGGAAGGGGGAGGTGGGGAAGGGGAAGGGGGAGGGGGAGGAGGATGAGGAGGAGGAGGAGGAGGAGGAGGAGGAGGAGGAGGAGGAGGAGGAAGGGGAGAAGGAGGAGGAAGAGGAGGAGGAGGAGGAGGAGGAGGAGGAGGCGGAGGGGAGGAGTGGAGGAGGGGAGGAGGCCGAGGAATAGTACAAGGGGGAGGAAGAGGAAGGAGGAGGAAGAGGAGGAGGAGTTAAGTGGAGTACTAGGACGAGGAGACATAAGACGAGGAGGCGGAGAAGGAGGAGGAGCGAGGGGGAGGAGGCGGAGGGCGAGGGCGAAGGCGAGGCGACCCCCTGGCCTCGTGGCCACGGCTGAGTTTGCCTGGCAGGCCGTGCCAGGGCGCACCCCCAGGGGAGGTCCAGGGGGCGAGGGCGACGACGTGGGTACAGAGGGGATGGCGAAAGAACGGGGAAGAGGACGAGAGGACCAGCAGTAGGCCGACGAGTGCATTCGCCGACGGGAGCATACTCCGAGTTTCTTCATACGTTTCGGGGGGGCGTCACCCCCGCCGACAGCCCCTCATCGACCCCCGTCGCGGGCCGCCATCGCGCGCCAAAGGCGCTCCGACCCCCGTCGCTGCGCGACGAGGAGGCGAGGTTGATCCCCGTCGGGGGGGTACCCCCCCGCGCTTATTAAGAAATCCAGGGTAGGCCAGCATGCGGGCCGAGCCTAGCCCGGTGAGGTCAGGGCAGGGCGTGCAGACGCGAAGCGCTGCAGGGAACATGGGGCCGATAAGGCCTTCAGGAGCTCGGCAGTATCAGGGTAACTTGCCAGAACGAGCGGCATTCTTTTTTATATCGGGCAGGAGGTCGGGTATGGGCGTCCTGCCGTG